GTATTTACAGATGTGCTGTAACGTATTTACAGATGTGCTGTAACGTATTTACAGATGTGCTGTAACGTATTTACAGATGTGCCGTAACGTATTTACAGATGTGCTGTAACGTATTTACAGATGTGTTGTAATGTATTTACAGATGTGTTGTAATGTATTTACAGATGTGTTGTAATGTATTTACAGATGTGTTGTAATGTATTTACAGATGTGTTGTAATGTGTTTACAGATGTGTTTTAATGTATTTACAGATGTGTTGTAATGTGTTTACAGATGTGTTTTAATGATTTACAGATTTGCAATGACATCATTTTGTAGTTTGTTCACTTTCTGATTGAACTTCCTGTCATTTGAACTGTTTGGTGAAAGTAAAAATAGTTTCCATGGTTTTTAGCAAAGATTCTTAGTTTCTGTTGATACCAAACATGTCCAGGTTCAACTGACAGATCTGAAGTTAGCAGAAATAGAAAACAGAAAAAGCTGTTTTGCCCCCGGTACTGGGGGGCATGGGGCTTAAGAGGTAAATCCTGTAAGATTACCCGGCTCAGCCTCGGTCGCAGGAATGGGGGGGTAGAAGCGCAGGAAGGTGGTCTTGCTGCTGTCAGAGTTGGTTTTGGTGCAGCGCATGACRTGGGCGAAGGACAGCTGGCGGTGCTGCTCCACCGTGGTGAAGCCGAAGTGTTTGCAGCAGAAGAAGAGCAGCGTGTTGAGGAGGACGATGGGCGAGTACGCCCCCAGCTGCTTGCACCCCCACAGGAACTCCTCCTCCACCCGGGAGTGGACGTATCCTGCAGGGGGAGACGGTCGGCTGTAAATCTGAGGCGACGGAGACGAGGCGGAGGCTGGAGCCAGAACTCACCGCTGCTGGTGACGGTGGGCCTGAAGTCTTTCAGGATGCTGGTGATCTCACAGGAGAACTTGCTGTAGAACAGATCCATGAAGATGTTCTCCACACGACCGTTCTCAAACAGATACTGCAACCAGAGGAACAACACCTTTTAAAGCTCTATTCTGCAGGTGGTTTTACCTACAGACCACATCATCTGTCATAATTACAGACTGTTGTCAGAATGAGTAAAGTTTTACCCTCAAATACTGTATTTCTCTGAACTCTAAGGTGATCCAGTGTGAACAGGCAGCTCTGTGATTTGAACAGGAATAGGTTGAAACTGATATGTAATTCAGTGTTTTTTTGTTTCCTGGATGCATTTTTATTTGACTTYGGTGAAGAACGGAGACTGGATTGACAACATTTGCAGGTTTCATTAGGTTAAATTTAAGACCTTTTAAGACCATCAGGAATGTTATTTAAGACCAAACCAACACATTAACAGAAACATTCAAATGGTCCCAGACATTTTAACAGAAGATATGTTATTTTAATACAAGAACGCTGTGTTATTTTAATGAAACAATCTTATCTATGAGACCTTCATATGGACTGMTGGGGACCCCCTTTGCAAAAACTAGTATATTCAAGTATCCTTTAAGTATACTCATTTTAAACTAAAATTACAGTTTGATCTGAGATCGGCTGCTKTTTGAAACAGTTTAACTTTTTATCTTTAAACACTAAACACTCGAGACCACTTGCACAGATCTGAGGTGCTGGTTGAAGACTTTTGCACAGCAGCAGGGGGTGTTTCTTGCCTGCTGGATGCCGAGGCACAGGTAGAAGAGGCTGTCGGGGGAGTAGGGCTCTCCGTTGGGCCTCTTCACCTCCTTGATGAAGCAGCACAGGCCATAGCTGAGCTCGGCTGTGGTGCAGCGCAGCAGGTCCTCCCTCAGCTCCAGAGGACGAGCTGAAACAAAAAACACACGTTTAACGTTCGGCCGCTGCAGCCCCGCGGGCCCGGACCAGAACCCGGACTCACAGCCGAGGCGGCGCTGCTCCAGGTGGGGCTGGGTCTGCCTCCACTGRATCCAGTGCTTCCAGGCGTCCACCCCGTACTGACTCTTCAGCTTCTGGGTCTCTGCAGCCACAGTCTTCTTCAGAGACGCTTCCTCTGCAGCTTTACTCTGACGCTGAGACTTCCTGCCCTGAAAGCACATAAATCTGTGACGGACAACATCAGAGACCACATAGCTCCGCCCCCCTGAGCGTCAGCAGCTACCCTCTTCTCTCGGGCCTTCCTGGGGGCCTGTCGCCGTCGCGGCTGGGCCGGAGGAGGACTGGGAGTCCTGTTGCAGTTCTCTCTGAGGCGGGCCATCCTCTCCAGGGTTTCTGATGGAGACGGATGTTAAATAATGAAGATACTGAGCAGAAACCTACGGAAGAGCATTGCATTCAYCTAATAAAAAATATTTAACTCCTGTTCTTATAATTACGAGATCAGGATCTCATAATTATGACATCTTATCTCATAATTATGAGATCAGGAGTCAAATATATTTTTATTAGGTGAATGCAATGCTCTTCCATAGAAACCACCCAGAAATAAAAATTTATCTCTTCTGTGCTCACCGACGGTGAAGTCGTTCTCGATGTCCATGGCGGGCGGCGGCGGCTCCGAGTACGGCTCGCTGGGCGTGCTGACCGGACTGTCCAGTGTCGGGGTGAGCTTCTCCGAGGCGTCCGGGCGAGTCGGCAGCTTCAGACCCGCCTCAGACGACGGGTCCTCCCAGTTGTTCAGGAAGCTGGCCAAGTCGTCCGTGTCCAGGTCGTCGCTGTAGTTACTGATGTGGTCTGCAGAGAAACATCCTCCTGAAAACTCTTCATTCTYCTGACTTTACAAAGATTTTAGAACTGCTGCTCTGAGACTTTCAGCTCATCTTCAGAGGCTTACTCTGCTACTTTCAGCTTCAGCAGATTGCAGCTGGTTGACCTCTGGATACTTCATTAAAACCTCAAATAACAGCAGCACAAACGTTTGACACCAGTTTTATTAAATTTCAACAAGGTGGGTGGGCCAACTTCACTCAGGTCAAAAAACTTGATTTTGAGCAAAAACACCTTAAAGATGTGATATTTTTATGGGATAAATGTTGTGCCAGCAGGAAGTAAATTTGAGTTACTCAGACTGAATCTGAATGCATTGGTGTGAAAAATAAATTTCTCTAAATTGAAACTGAATTTAAAGTTTTGTATCTGAATTAATTTGCTTTGAAACTGTATTTTGGTTTATTAAAAATTCAGTTTGACTACTTTCACTTTCAGTTCCATAATTCAGATGTTTGTGTCACATCCTGGTCCTTGAGAAAGCCAGGCAGAGTAATCAAACACAGATCCACAGATTTATGTTTCACTTTGGTGAAGTTTCTCTTCTGGATGTAACAGAGTTGATGCAATCCACTGTAAAAGTGACAAAAACACACAAAGTTATTTTATTGCAGTGATTAATTTGACCTATATGTAGAAAATGTTACATTTACATCATGGATCAGTCAGCAGCATCTGATCAATATGTGATCAATAATGTAAATGTTACATCTAAGTGAAACATAAATCTGTGGATCTGTGTTCGATTACTCTGCCTGGCTTTCTCAAGGACCAGGATGTGACACAAAAATCTGAATTATGGAACTGAAAGTGAAAGTAGTCAAACTGAATTTTTAATAAACCAAAATACAGTTTCAAAACACAAAATTTTAAATTCAGTTTCAATTTAGTGAAATTTATTTTCAAACCGATGCGTTCAATTTGAAATTCTGCACATTCAGATTAAATCTGAGCGATTCAAATTCACATCCTGCTGGCACAAGATTTATCCCGTATGTTATCTCTGTTAGTTAGCAAAGATTTTTTCTTTCCAGCTGATAACTCTTAAAATCTCAACACTATTTGAGKTTTCCTCTTTAAAATGACTTTAAATACTCCTCATCAGAACAACCTAAAAACAGGATTCAGGCCAAATATTCAAGTATTCCTGTGATTAAACTCGTATCAGCTGGTCAAACTGGAGCTTAAAGTGTCTGTGGCATAAAATTTTTATAATAAATATGAATGTAATTTTGGAAAGATAACATTGAAAACATTGTAAAAAAGATTTCATGTTGCTGAGATGAACTGTTGTTGAGATATKTGCATGTRAAGTAACAGGAAGTGATGTCAAAGGGGAATGTCTGAATGTAAACAGAGCTTTGCTAAAAACAGACTGCGGAGAAGAATCTCATGTTTCTTTAGGATTTTGTAATCACTATCATAGAGATGAGAAAGATCAACTAGTTTGAATAATATTGATTAAAAARACAAAAACCAGGAAGTTTTCTGTATCACAGAGTTCCCCTTTGATGTCACTTCCTGTTTCACTTTAGCTGAGCCAAATTCTAAAGAAAATATGCCGGTTATGTGACATAACGGGTCAAATCAAGTGTCTTAAATATAGATATATTTTCTTTGATTTTTTTGTATTTCATGTCACAGACACTTTAAAAAGCAGGAAGCTGAAAATCCTCGGTTCCTACCGTCTGCAGCCTCCCGCCTCTCCGGCACTTTGTCAGCCGTTTTGTCTTTCTGCGGTTCCTGTTTGTCTTCCTCTGCCACCATCTCAGCCATGAGGATGAGCTCGGCCTCGAACGGGTTGGACGGGATCTTCTGTTTGATCTCCTGGATGGTCTCTACGATGCGCTCGGCGCTGTTCATCGTCACGGGCAGAAACATGGGCACGGGCAGCTGGAGGACGGAGTGAAACGTTAAAAATCCTTTAAATCAGGGTGATAATGTGATGTAAAACAGGCTGCAGGAAGGAACGTACAGGCAGCGGCAGGCCCACAGGTTTGGGGGTGTACTGGCTGTACAGGTTCATGGGGATGGGCAGGTAAACGGGAACAGGAACCGGCAGGACCAGGACTTTAGGGAAGGCGTCATCTACGAAGAGAAAAAACTAATCTTAGTGTGTTTTGATTAAAACCCCAGAGCAGCAGCTGCCGTCCTGCAGAAACTGCAGCTCTCACCTGTCTGAGCTTCCACGTCGGCCGTCTGTGTTTTACAGGAAACTCCTTTATTCTGCACCAGCGGGCGGCACAGCAGAGCTTTGTTCTTCAGGATCTTTGGGGCAGCAGCAGGAGGAGGATGATGATGATGATGATGATGATGATGGGACTTCTGCTCCGTCTGGGTGCTGATCTGGAGACCAAGACCAGAACTATCACAACGTTTGAGTGCAGAAAACTGTTGACTAGAGCTGCGTACCGTGGCCCATTCTCTAAGCCGATTCATAAAGTTATGAATCCATTAATCACGATTCAATCTGCTCTGAAATAATGAAAATAGTTTAAAAGTGATGCAAAAATATACAAGGACAAACTTAAACTTGAAGGAAAACTGTCACAAGTTTAAAAGGTTTTAAATTGAAAAAGGACTTGCAGGTTTAAATCTCTTCTTAAAACACATCTTTTCTCTCTTTTCTGTTTTATTGTCATTTTTTATTGATTTTATGAATGTTTTATCATGTGTACAGCACTTTGGTCCTGTGGGTGTTTAAAGTGCTCTATAAATAAAGAAGGTACGGCGAGTCATTTTTAAGAAATTAATAATTATTTTTGGTGAATAAGAAGTGATGGAATAAGGTTGCAGAAGGGTGGACTAATATAAATATACTTCAATCCCACTCCCTTTGAACAAATGAACATTGTATATTTG